ATAGTTGAATCATAACAGAGTCGTTTGAGTCCAATAATAGAATTATCAGATCTAGGAGCAGAATCAGCTATTTTGAAACAAGACACTTCCTCTGAACCAGACGGAGTTACATACTATATGATAATTTTATGTGTTTTTTTCTCTTGGATCGTCCCAAAGTAGCAAGATTTTCTCCCCCAATCAAAAACATACTCGAGTGGCTTCCATTATTAACCTTGAAAGTCAACAATCTTTTAATATATTATTTTCCATTTTTTTATTGTTAAAATTGCAAACATATACTCTTTCAGGGTTTCACGTGCAGTTCATATGTCTTAATTACCCAATCCTAGTACCACTTTGTTTAATCTAATGTTAACTGGAATAATAGATTATCTTACGAATGGAGACACACGTGGTATATTTGCAAATTATGCTGAATTTCAGCATCCCTGTTAAACCTCGGAATTTTGTGTCCCTCTTACAAGATGCTCCAGGGTTGAAATTCAATGTTTCACTTTTATGACCTTGAAATGCAACGTTCAGATTATTCCCCATTGCGGTAGAATGTCTCTACCCCCATGCGAGCAATATATCTTTTGTTGGATAAATATAAATACTCAAGAATTTTGTTTATTAAACGCTGAAATTAGAATCCACACCTGATCTCCATGATATCAGATAGAAAGAGAAACTTAAGCTCTTTCTTTACTGCTTTATGATTACATCATGGTAATTATGTATCGTAATTTGACTCTCTCCCAAGTTGTAAATGTCTTTGTCTTGAAGAAAAAAAAACACTCCCAATTGTAAATTAATGTGTTTTAAAATTCAGCATTGAAGAAATGTTGAGGATCTATGACCTGACACCATGTTTCTAATTTACAAATGATGAATTCTAATGTTGCTCTCACTGTTGATTGACCAATGAGCGTATAAATGCCTGCGTTAAATTGTGATGCGTTTTCAGTATATTTATTTTTGACAGAAGGACCACAGTCCCTTATATAGCTTCAGTGGTTTGTACTGAAATCTTTCTTCATGTTTCGTTTCTATCAACACTCACTTTCTTTTCCTTAATTGTTGGTCTATATTAGTGTATGTGAGGAAGTTTTACGTATTTATAACTAATTATTTTCCGTATTATACGTGGGCGTAACTATTGAACATATCAGTTTAATGTGTGCTGTATACGATCCCGCTAGTCTAAATTTTCAATACATCACTTGACTTCTCGATTACAGGTTTAGTTTACGATTAACTTGTTCTTAAATATATCACTAATATTGTCTCTTTCTGTACCAACATTCCTCCAGGATGTTCATAAACATCATAAGTTATCTTAGATAAGGAAACAATTAATAAACACTGAACAATGATGGAAGAAGGAGGACAGGTAGATGGTGTTTCACTATTTCTTATCAACAGGAAAGTATATATATATATATATATATAATGTTAGAGCTTAGGTTTTTAGAATCCAGCAATAACAAAAAATACTGAGAAGATGGTTGATTGTACGCCTTTCTGCTATCATGGTGGGACAGCAGTAGACAAAGTACATCAAGTAACGAACATTTACTAAAGGGTAATAACAAATTATAACGATATTTTCGATTTCTCAAGTTACTTTTAATAGTCCCCCGGTGGGACAGCAGTAGGTCTTCGGATTCGCTAAAATTAGGGGATCTATTCCCCTCGGTGGAAACAGCAGATAGCCCGATGAGGCTTTGCTATAAGAAAACACACGCACATACTTTTAATGATTATTATTCTAATTAATTTAAAATATGAGTCATTCTCTTATGCTTGTTCTACTCTACAACATTAACTGTTAATGGGTCTACCAAATATTTGTTGCTGCTATTTCTAGGGTATTGTCTCAGTGGCATGTATTCAAATATTTGTTATTTTATCAAATATTTCACAGCTTGTTTTAGCTTACATTCTTCACTCGTGCCATCTGTCGACTTGTACATTAATCACAAATATTCATGGTAGCTTTGTTACACACCTTACAACGCTAGAAACCGGGTTTAGATACCCCGCTTGTTTTGCCGCTCAAATTTACACCATTAATATCTATAGTTACGGTAGTGATTCCAAACGCTTTATAAAAGAGGTATCTCTGTGGCTGTATAAACTGAACCTAGTTTTAGACGCAGTCTGTTGAAGATAAAGCATATAATAATTTAAGTAGTATATACTATAGGGACATACCATTCTTCTTAACTGGGGAATACGTCTGGTTTTGACACTTTAGGATGTATAAACGTTATTAATATATTGGGAAAATAAGTTTCTCCCTAGCACCGTCATAGGTTTTAAGTCTAGTAATCATATCATCGAAACCATGACAAAACTATGTATGTAAAAAAAATGGTCAAGTTAAACAAGATGAAAACTGAATAAAACCAAGACTCTCTATTTTTATCCATGTTGCTACCAGTTCCTTAAGTACACAGTACTTAACACATTGATTTGTAAAGGTGGGAAAAAACGTAGGAAACTTTCATGTTACTACATTACTTTATGATATTACTTTTGATTGTGTCAAGTAGTTAAGATAGTTTAATAATTTTAATAGAAAAGAACGTCACGCAGTCCTGAATATTTCACATGGAATACAACATGCTTAAACAGATTATATAAACAAGTTATTTCCTACTCCACTACTTCAATTAAATATAAAAATGTCTAGCATGAAAATAAGAGTCGTATTAATTTTTGTAAGCAAACTAATTACAATCAATGAAAATATTCTAACATGTCTTGTATACTCCCCGTTTTGTTACTTATGTTGCCCTGTAGCGAAAACAAGTACAAGTAATATAAAGACCAGAATGGTAACAAGTTTCTAAAAACAATCAAAATACAATTAAAAAGAATATGTACACGTGACTTTGTATTATTGCTTGTTAGTTACTACAATTGTCAGGAAGAAAAGAGTATGTGATGTAAAATGCAGAGTTGTGTTCAAAGTATAAAAATGTATTTCCAATTCGATGATCAAAAACAAAAACGTGTACACAACACAAGGTATTGCAACACAAACAGTTGATGTGATAAATAACTTATGAAATTCAATTCAGTGAAGAACTTGTAATGAGACTGGTTATTGAGAAATCTAGTAACATCGAGGTTTTAATCCGGGCTCCCTTATTATTTTATGTGTCATTTTCGTCAAAAGATGGCACTATATTAATGCAGCCACTTGATGATCACTGCCTATTGCTCTCGAAACTTATAGCTGTTGTTTAATATTTATCTTTGTTATTATTAATTTGTTTTAAATGTCACTGTCTCATCCATTAACATTTAAACATCAAGTAGTAATCATGATGTATAAATCATGATATATTCACCATTTTGCTGCTTTAAATGCCCTTATTTATGAATAATTCCATAGATATGAAGTATTCTGTGTTTAATTCAATATAACTAAGCATTTGTACATTTTTCTACTGTTATGTAAATGATGTTTATATTTCATGTTAATAAGTTATTTATAAGTTTGCAAGAATATCATTAAGTCACATTTGATTCAAACTTAAGATTTTTCTTAATGAAATGGAAAGAAATATTTTTTTTTCGAATTATACGAAAAACAATCGAATTTAAAAACTCAATGATGAACTGATATCACTTTTGAATAATGTACAATATTTACTTACATATATATTCAGAATACTTTATTTAGTTATTTAACAATATTTAAAGTACAGGTGTCAAGTATTTAACCTGACAAAGCTGCCATAGGTTCAGTTCAACTAATTAATTCTGGTTTTGATTAAAAGCCATCTTGGGCACTGGTTTATAGGAAACAAATGTTCTCTCAGGAATATTTCAAGGGTTAATTAATCTAATAAAACATCTTCAGACAAGTCAGATTTTAATCATATTTGTTAAACGTAAAATAACATCAATGTTTTCCAGTTAAGAAGTTTCTCATCATTAACTAGTTGTCAGTTTCATGTATTTTGTGATGATTATTGTTTGTTTGTTATAGATTTCGCGCAAAGCTACGGGTGAAAGGTCGATCATGTTGATGTGACCCCGCGAACCACACATTGCAAGTCGAGCGCCCTAACCACCTGGCCATATTAATGAAAGACTATCTTAGAACATGAAAATATGATACCCTTATATGTAAAAACGTCCATATAAACTGTAAAAAACAAAATGTGAAACTACAAGTTTGTATTTATCTCCACATCGGCCCAACAAACCTTCATGTCTAATTTGGTAAATATTTATTAACAGGGGACAACATAGTGGTAAAAAAACACTAAAACACCTTAAAACCTCAAAATGGTAAATTGAATTGTTTGTTTGTTTGGAATTAAGCACAAAGCTAAACAATGGGCTATCTGTGTTTGTAGTGTTGTAAGTTCGCAGACATACCGCTGTGCCACTGGGGGGCGCTAAATTGAAAGTTTGAATGTACCCCCGCATTGACCTAATGAATCTCCATTCCAATTTTGGTGAAGATCCATCCACACCCTGCGAAGTAGTTACAGGGACAGACAGAACTATTTTCTTTATATAGATTAGAATAGTATTTTGAATGAGAGGAAACAGAGCAGCTAGTTCCCCGGACGGACAGCGGTAAGTTTACAAACTTACGATGCTCAAATGAGACGTCCGATTCCCTGCGATAGATACAAAAGATAGCAAAATATGGCTTTGGTTTAAAGAAATAAACAAACAAAGAGGGCATCTAAAGCAAACAAATAACGTTTGAGTAATTTTTTTTTATTTGCATAGCCAGTTGTAAAAGCTACTATAGTACGTATTTGACTATAATATAGTTCAAAAATCATACCGGCCCGGTTATGAATTTACATAACTCCAGCAAGATTAGTAATATAATTGTACACTATATTCTACACTGTTTTGTGTAACATATAATCAGATCTGGTTATTATTTATTGTATAGTTATCGAGCTTCTTTTGACTAAAGCTACATTTTT